ATTTTAAGGTACTGGAGCCAATCCAAACAGTAGACAGGTTGTAAAGATTCAGTTTTGCCTTAGGTAGCAGGAATATTGCAGTGTGCAAAACTAGTGAGTAATTATTAAAAGAATTTAGTGGAACAAATTTAATTGAAAAGCAAGGGGATAAGCTGGCTTATTGGTCTTAGAGGGACGTAAACTATATAGAAAAATCAAGTTTATTGGTTAGAGCAAATTGAGTTGTGGTATGAAATCAGGACTGTGGTTTCACTGGTGCTGTACTTGCTGTCTTTTGTTCATTTTCTTTTCTCTCTTCTAAATAAGAGAAACTAGAGAAGGAAATGACTTAGTAGATTTTGATTCCTTCTTTGATTCCTTCTCTAGACAAGAATTTGGTCTTACCTGTTTTGAAGTCTCAAGTAATGGGATATCAGGAGATGCTTTCAAAATGATATTGTCGGCCGGCACCATGGCTCACTAGGCTAATCATCCGCCTGCGGCGCCGGCACACCGGGTTCTAGTCCCGGTCGGGGCGCCGGATTCTGTTCAGGTTGCCCCTCTTCCAGGCCAGCTCTCTGCTGTGGCCAGGGAGTGCAGTGGAGGATGGCCCAGGTGCTTGGGCCCTGCACCCGCATGGGAGACCAGGAGAAGCACCTGACTCCTGGCTTTGGATCAGCGCAGCCCGCCAGCCATAGCGACCATTTTGGGGGTGAACCAACGGAAGGAAGACCTTTCTGTCTCTCTCTGTCACTGTCTAACTCTGCCTGTCAAAAAAAGAAGAAAAAAAAAAGATATTGTCATTGCAGTTAGGGAATTCTTTTTTACAGTTTAACATTGGGGTGGATGTTTGGTGTAGCAATTAAGTTTCCACTTGGGCCACCCACTTCCTGTGTCAAAGTGTGTAGTGAGTTTCAGCGCCTCACTTCTGATCCAGCTTCCTGTTATTGTGCACCCTGGGAGGCAGCAGGTGATGGCTCAAGTACTTGGGTCCTGTCACCCAAGCGGGAGTCCCATGTTGAGTCCCAGGCTTGTGGCGTCAGCCTGCCCCAGCCGCAGCTATCGCAGACATTTGGAGAGTGAACCAGTGGCTGAAAGACCTCTGAGAGTCTCTGTCCCTCTCCCTTTCAAGTAAATAAAAATGTAACATCAATGCCTTTTTTTTTTTTAAGATTTATTTATTTATTTGAAAGTCATAGTTAAACACAGAGAGGAGAGGCAGAGAGAGAGAGAGGTCTTCCATCCACTGGTTTACTCCCCAGTTGGCCGCAATGGCCGGAGCTGCGCGGATCCGAAGCCAGGAGCCAGGAACTTCTTCCAGGTCTCCGACATTGGTGCAGGGGCCCAAGGACTTGGGCCATCTTCCACTGCTTTCCCAGGCCATAGCAGAGAGCTAGATTGGAAGAGGAGCAGCCGGGACTAGAACCGGTGCCCATATGGGATGCCGGCGCCTCAGACCAGGGCTTTAACCCACTGCGCCACAGCACTGGCCCCCCAGCATATTTTTAGATTTTATCCATGTTATTTCATTCCTTTTTGTGGCATGACAAAGCCATTTATTTAGAACTACCATGCTTTGTTTCTCCATCTGTTAGTTGATAGACATTTGTGTTCTTTCCACCTTTTTGCTGTTGTGAACAGAGCTGTGATGAAGATTTGTGTATACATTATTTATTTAATTTTAATAAAGATTTATTTGAAAGGCAGAGACAAAGAGAAGAGACAGAGCGAGTTTTTCTATCTGCTGGTTCACTCCTTAAATGGCCTCAATGGCTGGGGCTGGGCTAGGCTGAAGGCAGGGGTAAGAACTCCATCCAGGTCACATGTGTGAGTGGTAGGGGCCTACGCTCTTGGGCTATCTTCTACTGCCTTCCCAGGCACATTAGCAGGATAGCAGGAAGCCGGATTAGAAGGGAAGTAGCCAGGATTATTTTTTTTAAGTTCAATAGTACATGAATTTTATTCTCTTACTGAGACTGAGAGCTTGTAGCCAATTTAAAAAAAAAAAAAAAGTAAACCAAGGAAAATAATTAAATTTATGGAACTCTTGTTTTAAAAAATAAAGGTACCCAACTAATATGCTGAGATATAGCAGTGTTGGTGGTCCTGTATTTTGAAGTGTTTAAGAATGGTTTTTAAGGTAGAAGTGAGAAAACACCCACTCTCCCTTCCAATAATTTAAAGAGGGCAGTAGACATTCTTTATACCCAAAAACTATGGCAGCAGTTCAAATGTGACCAATGCAAATGTAGAATGGAGGTGTTCAAAACATAGCTAGGACTCAACACATCTCATACACTAAAATTGTAGGATTATAGTTTCAAAGAAAATGAACAATACCAAAGGAATTTTGAGATTTTTTCATTTGAAGGCAATCTTAATGCTATTAAATTCACAAATGCTAATTTAAATATCCAATCCTATTTATCTAAAACACACGTTGCAAACATACAAGTATCTGTTCTCTCCACATGTTAGTGCCCATTCATATCATGGCTTGGAAAAGGGGGGAATAGATTCCTCTTAACCTGCAAGTCAGTAGGTGTTTCTTTAGTTAACTTTAGCAAAATTCATACAACATAGTAATTAACAGTGATCTTCTTTACTTGTTAACTCACAAGGAACACCTTCGAAACTGCATTGTGTTAAAGCTTCTGTACTGGGGCTGGCGCCGTGGCTCACTCGGTTAATCTTCCGCCTGCAGCACCGGCATCCCACGTGGGCGCTGGGTTCCAGTCATGGTTGCTCCTCTTCCAGTCCAGTTCTCTGCTGTGGCTCAGGAAGGCAGTGGAGGATGACCCAAGTGTTTGGGCCCTGCACCCACATGGGAGACCAGGAGGAAACACCTGGCTCCTGATTGGCGTAGCTCCAGCCGTAGCGGCCATTTGGGGGGTAACCAATGGAAGGAAAACCTTTCTCTTGCTCTCGTTGTCTAATTCTGTCTGTCAAATAAAAAAAAAAAAGTTTCTGTACTAAAATGTAGAAAAGCTGAACTACACAGATATTGAAAAGTTAAAAATTCCTTAATTTTTTATTCCTGGTATCACTATCACAATTTACAGGGTAGTATATCTGATGTTATGAAAAGAAAAAGAAAAAATAAAGCTACAACAGATAAAAGACCTCAGGAATGTACACCTAATTGATGCTACATTGCGTTAATCAATAGCTGCACTTTTTGCAAACTGGCTATGACAGTCCTGAACAAGAAGGGTTTCCTGTTTAGGCTGCGGTAACTTTTCTGACTGTCGATCATCGTTCCTTCTGCGGCAGATTTTTACACTTCCTCTAATGCATTCAGGACGACTGTCTCAGTAACTTGCAGCTTTTCTCTCAACTCCTCACTCTCTCTCCTGCTGAGAACTGGAGCCCTTTTCTGCTGTTTTTAGAACCTTCTGCTACCATATCCACCACTTCCACCACCAGATCCATAACCACTACCACAGGGACTGCCTGAACTTCTCCCACCAAAACTGCCCCCTTTCCTGGGTCCATGATTTGATTGCTGTTGTCCACTATAATTACCAAATCATTGTAGTTTTCACCACCACCACCGTTACCTCCAAAATTTCTTCCTTTATTGTAACCATCATCCTCTTCCTGCACCATGTCCCACCCTGGTTTCCATATCCTGGTCCACCACCACCATAGCCTCCTCTGTTGCTATAACCAGGACCACCACCATAGTTGCCACCATCACCTCCTCCATAACGTCCTCTGCTGCCATCGCCTCCACCACCATAGCCTCCTCTTCCACCAAAGTTTCCACCACAGCCAAAATTACCTCCATCACCTCCAGAGTTTCCTCCATGACCCATAAAGTTGCCCAAGTAGTCTCTCAGATTATATTCCTCTGTAGCTTCTTTAATACCACCAACAAAAACCTTCACTGTGAGATGGGCACCGGGCTTTACCGAATCCTCTTTAGAAACTGCTCTCTTTGGTTCCACAACACGCCCATCAGCCTTGTGTGGTGGAGCACACATCGCTGCATCCACTTCTTCAACACAAGAGTAAGTCACAAAACCAAAGCCCCTGGAACGTATCGTTTGGGGGTCTCTCACTACCACGCAATCTATGAGTGTGCCCCATTTCTCAAAATGTTCTCTCAAACTATCATCTGTAGTTTCAAAGCTTAGATCACCAATAAGCTTTCCCAGCTGCTCTGGTTCCTTTGGATCATGGCCCTCCTCTTTTTTTTTTTTTTTTAATTTTTATTTATTTTATTTATTTTTTTTATTTGAAAGGCAGAGTTAGAGAGGTAGAGACAGAAAGAGTGGTCTTCCATCCGCTGGTTCACTCCCCAGATGGCTGCAACAGCTAGAGCTACACCGATCCTAAGCCAGGAGCCAGGAGCTTCTTCTGGGTCTCCCATGTGGGTACAGGGGCCCAAGGACTTGGGCCTTCTACTGCTTTCCCAGGCCATAGCAGGGAGCTGGATTGGAAGGGGAGCAGCCAGGACTCGAACCGGCACCCATATGGGATGCTGGTGTGTCAGGCCAGGGCTTTAACCCACTGTGCCACAGTGCTAGTCCTTGGCCCTCCATTTTGAGACTGGACTCGCCTCTTCCAACTCAGCCAGGATTCTGACTGGCATTCTGATGTGGGTTGCTAGCTGTGCTGCAATGCCAGCCCCTATACTTTTTTTTTTTTTTTGAGCATTTTGTTGAACTTATTTTGGGTATCCTTAGGAGAATTGCTGGGTCATACAATAATTCTGTGTTCAACTTTTTAAGGAACTACTAAACTTTTCTGTAGTGGTTATACTGTTTTACATTTGTATGAACAATGTGTAAGGGATTGCCTTGTAGCTGAGAACTCATTTTTCTACTTCATCATCTGGTCTTAAGGATATTTTGTTTTGTTTTTCTTTTGGCCTAGGTAGTTTTTTAATCAACACATAAAAATTGTAGTTTGTAGGGTCCAATGTGTTTATTTGATACAGATGTAGAATGTCTAATGATCAAATCAGGATAATTAGCATTTGCATTACCTTAAACTTTTATCATTTCTTTGGTGCTGAAAACCTTCAAATTCCTACTTTATAATTCTTCATGAAGTATCTAATAAATTGTTGTAAACTGAAGTTGCTGTACTGTGCTGTGGAAGAAGTGTTCTATTTTTTTTTTTTTTAAGATTTATTTATTTATTTGAAAGTCTGAGTTACACAGAGAGAGGAGAGGCAGAGAGAGAGAGAGAGAGAGAGGTCTTCCATCAGCTGGTTAACTCCCCAGATGGCTGCAATGGCTGGAGCTGTGCCGATCTGAAGCCAGGAGCCAGGAGCCTCTTCCGGGTCTCCCACGTTGGTGCAGGGGCCCAAAGACTTGGGCCGTCCTGTACTGCTTTTGCAGGCCATAGCAGGGAGATGGATCGGAAGAGGAGCAGCCCAGTCTCAAACTGGTGCCCATATGGGATGCCAGTGCTTCAGGACAGGGCGTTAACCCACTTGTGCCACAGTGCCAGAAGTGTTCTATTTTTAAGCCTCTCTCTGCTTAGATTGCCTTCAATAGCAGCTTTCTGACATTTGACACCTATTCAGATTTATATACACATTCCGAACTTTTTAGCTCCTGAGAGGTGACAAAGTTGAGGTCAGCTGCATATAAGCATCTGGGCGTCCTTGGGTGTGTTCACCGTTTTCCTTTGTTTGCAGTTATCACCGGCCAGTATCGAAATGGTGTGATTTCCGCCCGAACTCGGATTGATGTTCTCTTGGACACTTTTAGGAGAAAGCAGCCCTTCACTCACTTCCTTGCCTTCTTCCTCAACGAAGCTGAGGTTCAGGAGGGATTTCTGAAGTTCCAGCAGGCAGTTCTGGAGAAGTGCTCCACGGTAAGCAGCAACGAAGACGCAGCTTGAAAACAAGAAAGTCAAATGTAAAACAAAATACAAAAATGGTTCAAAATTCAAGCAGTGGGAAGATACAGACCTCTTCCCTACCTAGAAAGATGACTATTCCTGATGGTTTCTTACTGAACGAGCAAGCAAAAGTATAGCCGTGTCAACATCTAAGCTTCTGTATATCATAGAAACATCTTTTAAAAATTTCAAGACACCAGCGGCTCATTCTGCTAGGCACAGCCCTCTGCACCTTTTGGGTGGCTGTGTGAATGAGATGCTGGCATCTGTAAATCTGCCTTTGGGCAGTCATGGCTTATTTGGCATTAGGATTTAACTAAAATACAAATTTGCAAAGAGAGTTGTCATATAATAGTGATATACCATTATATAATGGGTAATCTAGATTAGAAAACAAGATTTAAAGCTTCTTTTTGATACAGTTTTAAAATATTTACTCATTTATTTGAGATGTAGAGAGACACAGAGAATGAACTCTGACCTGCTGGTTCACTTCCCAGCGGGCCACAATGGTAAGGGCTGGGCTGGACCAAAGGCAGGAGCCAGAACCAGTCTAGGCCTTACATGCAGGTGGCAGGGAACCAATTACTTGAGGCATCATCTGTTGCTTCCCAGGGTCTGCTAATATGGGAAGCTGAAATAAAGAGCTGGAGACAGGTACTCTGATGTGGCATATGGGCATCTTAACTGATATCTTAACTACTAGGCCAAATGCTCACCCCATATTTTAGTTGGTTTGAAAAGTGTTTGTTGGTTTTCTCTCTTTTTTTTTTTTTTTTAAAGTTTTTTATTTATTCGTTTGAAAGTCTGAGTTAGAGGCAGAGAAAGAGAAAGCTTCCATCTGCTGGTTCACTCCCTAAATGGGTGCAATGGCTAGAGCTGAGCCCATCCAAAGACAGTATCTAGGAGCTTCATCCGAGTCTCCCACATGGGTGTAGGAGCCCAAGCACTTGGGCCATCTTCCACTGCTTTTTCAGGCATATTAGCAGGAAGCTGGATGGGAAGTGGAGCAGCCAAGACTTGAACCGGTGTCCATAGGGGATGCCAGCATTACAGGCGCTGGCTTTACCTACTGCTCCACAGTACTGGCCCCTATTTTTTTTTTTTTTCTTTTGTTTAAAGAGTTATTTATTTATTTAAGAGGCAGAGAGAGGTCTTCCATCTGCTGAATCTCTCCCCAAATGTACGCAATGGCCAAAGCTGGGCCAAGCTGAAGCCAGGTCTCTTATGTGGGTGCAGGGGCCCAAGCACTTAGGCCATCTTCCACTGCTTTACTAGGCCACAGCAGTGGCCTCTACTGGTTTTCTAAAAAAAAATTTTTTTATGAAAACCAATCTATGCTTACTATGGAAAATTTATAAAATACAGTAACAATACTTCTTCCTAGAAGTAAAAAATGAGTATGTGTGTCTGAGTTTTTTGATATGTATATTCAAATTACCGTTGGGAAATGTTATAGCAGTTTATACTTCAAGCTGGAATTTTCTTTAGATTTCTTTTCCTTCTTTTGCCAGTATTGGGTCTTATCATTCTTTTGAATTTTTTAATCCAGTTGACAAAAAATTTGCTCATAGCTTAGTGCTCATTTATTTGATTGTTAGATAAGACATATTGATATTTTTAACTCTTTTTTTTAAAGATTTATTTATTTATTTGAAGGGCAGGTTTATAGAGAGGTATAGGCAGAGAGAGAGAGAGAGAGGTCTTCCATTTGCTGGTTTACTCCCCAGTTGGCTGCAACAGCTGGAGCTGTGCCAATCGAAGCCAGGAGTCAGGAGCTTCTTCCGGGTTTCCCACTTAAGTGCCGGGGCCCAAGGACTTGGGCCATCTTCTGTGCTTTCCCAGAGAGCTGGATCAGAAGTGGAGCAGCTGGGACTTGAACTGGCGTCCATATAGGGTGCTGGCATTCCAGGCGGTGGCTTCACCTGCTACACCACAGTGCTGACCCTGACTTTTGTTTCTTTATGTGTTTGCTCATATTTCTTTGGGAGTGTTAGCTTTTAAAATTTATTTATAAGAGCTTCATACATATTAAGATTAATATTAATAATTTACACTTTTGGGTTCATTTAGAATATTTAAGGCAGAATTGCAGAGAGGGAGAGAGAGAGAGCTTCCATCTACAGGTTCACTCCCTAAATGGCTGCGATGGTTGGGGCTGTGCCAGGCTGAAGCCAGGAGCCTGGAACTCCATCACAGTTCACCACATGGGTATCAGGGTCCAAGTACTTGGGTCTTCTTCTACTATTTTCCCAAGTGCATTAGCAGGGAGCTGGATCAGAAGTGGAGCAAATGGGACTTGCACCAGTGTTCTGATATGGGACCTGGCATCACAGGCAGTGGCTTAACCTGCTGCACCACCACTCTGACCTTAGAATATATTTTGAAATGTGATACTTTTTTTTTTTTTTTTAACGATTTGTTTATTTGAAACACAGAATGACAGGGAGAGAGAGAGGGAAAGAGATCTTCCATCTGCTGGTTCATTATCCAAATGGTTGCAACAGCTGGGGCTCAGCCAGGTTGAACAAGGAGCCTGGAACTTGGTTCAGGTCTCCCACATGGGTGGCAGGAGTCCAAGTATTTGGGCCATCTCCTGCTGCTTTCCCAGGTGGAGCATCAGGGAGCTGGATCAGCAGTGCTGCAGTTGGAGGCTTAACTCTTTGCATTACTATACAGTCTCCACCTTTTTTTTTTTTTTTTTTTTTTTTAAAGCTGTATTTACTGGGGCCAGTGCTGTGGCATAGCGGATTAAGCTGCCATCTGCAGAGCTGACATCAATTTGAGTCCCAGCTGCTGCACTTCCAATCCAGCTCCCTGCTAATGCACTTGGGAAAACTGCAGAAGGTGGCCCAAGTTCTTGGGTACCTGCACCCATGTGGGAGACCTGAAGAAGCTCCTGGCTCTTGGCTATGGATTGGCCCAGCTCTGGCCATTGCGGCCATTTGGGGAGTGAACTAGTGGATGGAAGATCTCTTTCTCTGTCTCCATTTCTCTGTAACTGCTTTTCAAGTAAATAAAAATAAATCTTTTAAGGAGAGAGAGAGAGAGAGAGAGAATCTTCCATTGCTGGTTCACTCCCCTAAGGTGCAACAGTCAAAACTGGGTCAAACCAAAGCCAGGAGTCAGGAATTGCATCCATATCTCCCACATGGATGGCAGGAACTCAAGTTCTTGAGTCATCATCTGTTGCTTCCCAGGTGTAGTATCTGGGAGTTGGATCTGGATCCTGAAGTGGATATCAGGTGCAGGCAGGTGTTGTGAGCAGTGATTTAACCCTGCTGTGCCACAAAACCTGCCGCAGGTTAGAACTTCTTTTTTTTTTTTTTTTTTTTTAAAGATTTAATGTATTTGAAAGGCAGAGTTACAGAGAAAGAGGGAGAGGGAGAGAGAGAAAGATCTTCTATCCCTGGTCCACTTCCCAAATGGCCGAAACACCCAAAGCTGAGCTAATCCAAAGTGAGGATCCTGGAGCTTCTTCTGGGTCACCCACATGGGTGCAAGGGCCCAGCAGTTGGGCCATCTTCTGCTTTCCCAGGCTCATTAGCAGGGAGCTGGATCGGAAGTGGAGCAGCTGGTGCCCATAGGGATGCTGGCACTCTACATGGCAGCTTTACCAGCTACTCTGTGGTACTGGCCCCAAGAACGTTCCTTAACCTCTAAGTAACCGGTTATTCCATTAAGAATTAAAGAAAATTTTAACTTGAAAATTATCATACAGTAAAATTGACCTTTTTGGTTGTATGTTTCTGTGAATTCTAATATCTGTAGGTTTCTGTAACTACTACCACAGGGAGGATATAGGATAGTTCTACCACCTTCAAAAGTCCCTCATGGGCCGGCGCCGCGGCTCACTAGGCTAATCCTCCGCCTTGCGGCGCTGGGACACCGGGTTCTAGTCCTGGTCGGGGTGCCAGATTCTGTCCCGGTTGCCCCTCTTCCAGGCCAGCTCTCTGCTGTGGCCCGGGAGTGCAGTGGAGGATGGCCCAAGTGCTTAGGCCCTGCACCCCATGGGAGACCAGGAGAAGTACCTGGCTCCTGCCATCGGATCAGCGTGGTATGCTGGCTGCAGCGTGCTGGCCGTGGCGGCCATTGGAGGGTGAACCAACGGCAAAGGAAGACCTTTCTCTCTGTGTCTCTCTCTCACTACCCACTCTGCCTGTCAAAAAAAAAAAAAAAAAAAAAAAAAGTCCCTCATGGTTAGGGCCAACATTGTGGTGTACAGTGGGTTAAGCCACTGCCTGCAATGCCAGTATCCGATATGGGTACTAGTTTGTGTCTTAGCTGCTCCACTTCCCATCCAGCTTCTTGCTAATGTGCCTGGGAAAGCCGTTCAAGAAGATAGTCCAAGTGTTTGGATGGAGTTCCAGACTCCAGGCTCTGGACTTTGTTATGATCAGCCCTGGCTGTTGTGGCCATTTGGGGAATAAACCAGAGTATGGAAGATTTATGTCTCTCTCTCTCTAGCTGTATCTTTCAAATAAATGAATATTTTTTAAAAAAGTCCCTCATGCTGCCCTATGGTCAGCTCTTCCCTGCTCTCGCCCCTGGCAGACATGGATCTTTACTTCACTAAAGTTTGTCTTTTTGAGAATGTTAGTAGAATGCCCTTGAGGTTCATTCATCCAGGTTGTGCCTATCAGTAGTCTATTACTTAACTGCTGCTGAATGGTGTTCTACTCACAGATGTGCCTGTTTTGTTTTTCCATTCACCCATCGGAGGATATTTGGGATTTCTGGTTTTCAGCAGTTGCAGGTAGAACTGCTGTGAGTGTGTGTGTATGGGTATTGTATGAACGTAAGTTATCATTTCTTGACTGCCTCAAACCATTGAGCAGAGTGCCTGTGCCAGTCTGCACTCACCAGGGCTGCATGAGAATGCCAGTTCCCCCATGGTCTTCCCAGCTTTTGACGCCTCACTGGTTTTTTTGTTAGTTTGTTTTTAAAGATTTATTTATTTATTTGAAAGGAAG